TCCATACTGATACAAGTGATTGAATAAGCCAAGAGAGAAAAAGTATGTCTCCCATACAGAAGAACCCCAAATAATTTATGTAGAGCATGACTCTCCACCTTGAAGTGACATCCTTCCAAAGAGGGCAGTATGCGGGGGTGGGTAGCATTCCATTCCACTGTATAGACAGACCACAATCTTGTCTCTCCATTCTCCAGTAGATGGATATTTAGATTGTTTCCAGTTTTTGGCTTCTGTGCATTGTGCTGCTATAAACCTTCATTTGCAGGTCTTTTTTAAAAATTTATTTTATTGACACATAGTTGACAATGTTGTTAATTTCTGCTATTCAGCATAGGGGTTCAGTTATACATACACAGATTCTTCTTCATATTCTTTTCCATTATGGCTTATCACAGGATAGTGAATATAGTTCCCTGTGCTATATACAGTAGGACGTGGTTGTTTACCCATTCTATACATGATAGTTTGCATCTGCTAATCCCAAACCCCCAAGCCATCCCTCCCCCCATCCCCACCTTCCCGTTGGCAACAAGTCTGTCATCTATGTCTGTGAGTCTGTTCCTGTTTCTTAGGTGAGTTCATTTGTATCATATTTTAAATTCATATTTTGATATGCTTAGATCACATATAAGTGATACCATATGATACTTGCCTTTCTCTTTCTGACTTACTTCACTTTGTATGATAATCTCTACATCCATCCATGTTGGTGCATATGGCATTATTTCATGATTTTTTATGGCTGAGTAGTACCACATCTTCTTTATGTATTCATCTGTCAGTGGATTCATGTCCATTGAATCCATATCTCTTGGGTAAAGATATACCTAAGAGTGGGACAGGTGTCATTTGAAAAGTGTTTCACATGTTCAGCTTTTCATGAAACTGTCAAACAGTATTCCCTAATGGTTGTACCATCTTATGTTCCCATCAGTGGTGTCAGGAAATCCATTCTTTTACCATGTAGAGAAACACCAGGTTGTTGGTCCAGAGGACAAAAGAGCAGCCCAAGTAAATCAGCCTTGTGACTGCCTTGGTTTATGTCTAGTTACCACGCAGCACTGCAGTTTTGCGGCCTAACAGGAGCTGTGCTTGAAGATGTATTCAGTTACAGCGTCAGTCACTCTTCCACCAGGCTGGGGACACTCTTGTTCACTCATAGGTTGTTGTTGTTGTTTTTCCAATGAGGATATACTTTTATCGTTCTAGCAGAGTTTATAATGTATATGAGACTAGAGCACATATATATATACACATCTATCTCACACACACACACACACAGAAACACACACAGTAGCTTGGAGCACCTTTGGGTAAAGCAAACTCTGGAGAACATCCAGCTCATTCATGGTGACTTATTAAGAATATCTTCTAATCTATCTGATTCCCATCCCCCACATCCTGAGAAAAGGATTTAAAACTCAACTTTTAATTTCAGAACAGTTTTAAGTTTGCAGAAAAGTTGGAAGACAGTATGGAGTTCCCTCTTACCTTGCACCCAGCGTCCCCTACTGCTGTCATTTGTCACCACTGAAGAACTAATGTTGACCCATTATTATTAGCTAGTTCAGATTTCCTTACTTTTCACCGGAAGTGCCTTCTGCATCCCAAGATCCCACGCTGCATCTAGTCACTGGATCTCCAATCTGTGACAGCTTCTCAGGCTTTCCTTGTTGTTGATGACCTTGACCATTTTGAAGAGTCAGGTATTTCCAGAACGTCCTTCAATTTAGGTTTGCCTGGAGTTTCTCTCATAGTCAGACTGGTTACAGGTTTTGCAGAGGAAGACCACAGAGGCAAAGTGCCATTCTCCTCACATCATATAAAGGGCCCATGCTATCAGCCTGATTCTCCCCTGCTGGTGATGACCTTGACCACCTGACTGAGGTCATGACCATCAGTTTTCCCCGCCGTAAAGTACTGTCTCCCAGCCCTGCATCGGTCCTCTTTGGAAGGAAGCCACCAAGCATGGCCCACACTCAAGGGTGGGAGTTCCCTTCAAGGAGAAGCTTGTCCAGGTGATTGTCTCTTTTCCTCACTTATTTAACCCATTATTTATATTAGTGTAAACTTGTTGATATTTATTTTATACTTTAGGTTACAACCCAAGTCTATATGATTCACATTCTTGCTCAGATTGTTCCAGTTTTGACTATGGGAAGCCCTTTCCTTTGGCTTCTGTGTCCCTCTGACAAACCCCATGGGGTGTGTGTGTGTGTGTGTGTGTGTGCGCGTGCATGTGTGTGTGTGTTCGCACGCGCATGTTTAGCCCTTCCTTACTCTCTGGCACTAGAAGACGGTCCAGGCTCACCTCCTGTATTTCCCGCCCCAGCCCTGAAATCAGCCATTTCTCCAAGGAGCCTGGGCTCCTTGTTCTGGGCAGAGATCTTAGAAATCAAGTTCTCACACTGGATGTGCTCATTGCTGGGGGGGAACGTCCTTGCTTCTAAGCCCTCTCAGCTGACAGAGCCAGAAAACTTATGTGCACATACTCACCTCTGTGGGCTTCCCAGGTGGCTTAGTGGTAAAGAATCCATCGGCCATGGAGGAGACCCGGGCTCGACCCCTGGGTCGGGAAGATTCCCTGGAGGAGGAAATGGCAGCCCACTCCAGTATTCTTGCCTGGAGAATTCCATGGACAGAGGAGCCTGGTGGGCTGCTGTCCATGTGGTTACAAAGAGTTAGATCTGACTGAGCGACTAAGCACTGCCACTGCCACTAAGCTGTGTCTCTGTGCGAATCTAGAAACGTTTCTGTCTGTTTCTGCCTGCCTGCTGTAGGCTCGTCTGTAACCTCCCACCGCAGCAGAGAGAAATCCGGCTCCCATGATCTACTGACTTAATTGCTCAATGCCATAGTGCATATATATTGTGATTTAAGAATTGTTAACCTGAGCCCTTGTAGAGAACAACCTTACCGACTAGAGCACAGTGTTACGCATGGTTCCTTTTGCCTTTCGTTTCACAAACTCCGCTCCTTTCCATAATTACTTAGGTCAGCATCTTTTCTCCCATCCCAAGCCCTTTTTCTGGCCTGGGTCTCCCCTTCTCCCGCCACTAAGCCTGGCCTGTGGGGCTCAGGCAGTGGTGTCCTCCGTGGGGATCAGATCATGCCTCAGTGAGTCTCAGTGGTCCCTTCTGCCATCACTGGACTGAGTGAACCCCCCACACACACACCCCAAAACAGCCCAACGGAATCCTCCTGACCAAGCAGCCAAGCTCTGCAGCCTCAGGGGTGGACCCAGCCCCAGGCCCAGCTCCAGTCAGCCCTGGCTCCTGCCTGAGGACCACTGTGCACCCCCCAGGACCGTGCAGCAGGAGCCGGCCACTCTGGGCGCTAGCCAAGCTGTCCAGCCATGCTGCTGGTCCGCCTGGTAACGGGGGCCTTCTCAGGTTACTCGGAGGATCACTTTGCCTTAGAAACTCCAGCTGTCACCTCCAATGCATCAGTAACCGATGCCAAGGCCCTGAGCAGAGAGGGCTGGCAATAAGCAAGTGTCCCCAGGGGTCCCACCAGCGCTGTGCTCTGTCACCGCAGCCATCGCCGTCACCAGGGAGGAAGGTGAGCACACCTGGGGGGAGGTGCGGCACCCAAGATTCTGGGACGGGTACCCTGGGATGCCCCCCCTGGTAAGCCCTGTCTGGAGCCTGGATTCCTGTTTCCAGGTGAAGGGGAAGGAGGGGAGCTCTGCATGTGTGGGAAAGGGCTGAGGTCAACCTGCAGGGCTTGAGGACGCACTGGAGTGCCGGCAGCCTCTTCGGCTTTGTGGCTCCCCAGGTTGGGTGTAGACAGGTTAGGAGCACCCTGCTCTGGCCTCTGACCCGCAGCCCTGCCACAGGTCGCTGGTCAGAACCGGTATGCACGTGGAAGGGGAGCAGGTGCCTGGCCCCCGATCAGTTTCCAGCCAGCCCGTCTTTGATTGTGCACGAGCTGACTGCTTGACTCACGGGGCAAGAACTGATCTCAGGCCCCTCCAAGACCCAGGGATGCCCCCACCCCACCTGGGCCCAGTGGACCCAGGAGTCCCACGCTGCCAACATGTGACAAGGTTAAGTGCCCTGAGACTCCGTGGCAGCACTACTGCCTGGCAGAGGAGGACCAGGGCCCCCACGTGGGCCTCAGGGAGTGGCAGCCCCACCTTACCCAGTGTGAGGAGTTCTCACACCGAGCCCTCTGGCGGCGGGTGACAGGTCCCACTGGATGTCACTCGAGGACTTTCCTCCCCAGTCCATGATACACTTGGGGGCCTCCTCCCTGCCCCCAACTCCAAGAGTGTCTTGGGAGAGGCCAGCTCCTGGGAGATAGAGTCAACAGGAGCATGACACCCATAGGGTGGGTGGGAGGGCTGTCTAAACATCTTCAGAAGGCTGAGGAGGACCAAAACCAGGGCCTTCAAAATCCAGCCCCCAGAGGTCTGTCTAAGCCAGGGGCGAGAATTCCTTAGAACTACAGACTCTCCCCCAGAAAACAAAGCCTTTACATCATATCTTACCTACAGTTTCAGAGGCCATCCATGGATCCCTGCTCTCATCAGACATATGGAAAAATACACACATAGACTGTTCCATTCAGGACAGTCACCCTTACCACCCCCGATACGTTTGTGTCTCCAGCCCACGCCACCATCTGCTTTCGGAGAACAGAGCCACCTCCCCTCCCCTGAGCCTGTCCTAAAGCCAGGAACCCAGAGACCACCCCCACCAAAGCTGCCATAGGAGGCCATTTCAAAGGGCAAATAACCCCCGAAGTCTGCAGGAGTTCGTGAACTCTTAACTACCAAGGGGAAGTCCTTTTGTCACATCGAAGCTGGTGAATTTCAGGCACAGCTCAATCCAGGAGGTCAGGCGATATCCTAAGAACAGATGGAACGCATGGAGGCAGAGGAAGACTGGCGGCTCAGACTGGCACACACGTTGAGTCTGAACGGCATGCCGCCCTGCGGGCAAGGCCACAAGGAGTCCCCCGTGACCTCCCTCGCCTCCAGCTGCACGGCCACCACTGCCATGCCGGCCACCAACCAGGGATGGCCGGAGGACTTCGGCTTCCGGCTGGGGGGCTCGGGTCCCTGCTTTGTCCTGGATGTGGTGGAAGGGAGCAGTGCGCACGTCGGGGGTCTGCGGCCCGGGGACCAGATCCTGGAGGTGGAGGGGCTAGCCGTGGGCGGCCTGAGCCGCGAGCGCCTAGTGCGCCTGGCCCGGCGCTGCCCGCGCGTGCCGCCCAGCCTGGGCGTGCTCCCCGGCCCCATCGGCTGCCCCGGCGCGGGATCCGGCTGCGAGCCGCTGACCACAGCCTTGCGGAGCCCGCGCTCAAGCCGCAGCCTCTTTCTGGGCCGCGAGTTGCTACGCCTAGCCGGCCGCAAGCGCCCCGACGCCGTGCACCGAGAGCGTAGGCGCAAGGCCCAGGAGTTCAGCCGCAAGGTAGGGCGCGCAGGGCGGAGCAGGGCCCTACGGGACAGACAGGGCGGTCTGGGGTGAAGCTCTGGGGGCGGTGTTCTGGGGTGCTGGGCACTGTGGACCCGGAGCCTCAGGAGCCGGGCAGTCCCTCCTCAGGCTAGGAGTGGGAACCTGGAGCTAAGGAAACTTCTAAGGAAAGATTTATCAGAAATATAGTGATGCTCAAGCTTCCAGTCCTACTTGCGGAGCCCGCGCTCAAGCCGCAGCCTCTTTCTGGGCCGCGAGTTGCTACGCCTAGCCGGCCGCAAGCGCCCCGACGCCGTGCACCGAGAGCATAGGCGCAAGGCCCAGGAGTTCAGCCGCAAGGTAGGGCGCGCAGGGCGGAGCAGGGCCCTACGGGACAGACAGGGCGGTCTGGGGTGAGGCTCTGGGGGCGGTGTTCTGGGGTGCTGGGCACTGTGGACCCGGAGCCTCAGGAGCCGGGCAGTCCCTCCTCAGGCCAGGAGTGGGAACCTGGAGCTAAGGAAACTTCTAAGGAAAGATTTATCAGAAATATAGTGATGCTCAAGCTTCCAGTCCTGTCCTTAATTTTCGTAATTTTTGTTTGCTCGATTTGTGGGAGTTGCTTTTCTTTTTTAAATTGAGGTAATACAGATATACAGTAAAACACATTCATTAAGTGTACAGTTTAATGAACTTCACATAGGCATACACCCTTGTAACCACCAGCCTGATCAAAATGTAGATGAATAGAATACAGACAATAATAGTAGAATGCAGAACATATAATGATTCCTTCAACCCAGAAGGTTCTCTCCATCTCAACACAAAGCTCCGAGATTCGCCGTAGAAGAAGAGAGCCTAGAAGATTGTGCATCAACTCTTAAGGACTCAGAGGGCTAGAGGGGGTTGGTGCTGGGAAGCGAATCCCTGCATTTTCAGTGGATAGTCATTGCCCAGAACTAATCACACCACTGCTCCCAAAGGATACTGGGAAATGTAGTCCTCTGTGTGTCCAGGAAGGCGGGAAGACCTAGAAACATTGGTGAGCCCTAGTGCTTATATGCAGAGTACATCATGAGAAACGCTGGCCAGGAAGAAGCACACGCTGGAATCAAGATTGCCAGGAGAAATATCAATAACCTCAGTTATGCAGATGACATCACCCTTATGGCAGAAAGTGAATTGGAACTAAAAAGCCTCTTGATGAAAGTGAAAGAAGAGAGTGGAAAAGTTGGCTTAAAGCTCAACATTCAGAAAACTAAGATCATGGAATCTGGTCTCATCACTTCATGGGAAACAGATGGGGAAAGAGTGGAAACAGTGGCTGACTTTATTTTTGGGGGCTCCAAAATCACTGCAGATGGTGATTGCAGCCATGAAATTAAAAGACGCTTACTCCTTGGAAGGAAAGTTATGACCAACCTAGATAGCATATTAAAAAGCAGAGACATTACTTTGCCAACAAAGGTCCATCTAGTCAAGGCTATGGTTTTCCCAGTGGTCATGTATGGATGTGAGAGTTGGATGGTGAAGAAAGCTGAGTGCTGAAAAATTGATGCTTTTGAACTGTGGTGTTGGAGAAGACTCTTGAGAGGCCCTTGGACTGCAAGGAGATCCAACCAGTCCATCCTAAAGGAGATCAGTCCTGGGTGTTCATTGGAAGGACTGATGATGAAGCTGAAACTCTAATACTTTGGTCACCTCACGCGAAGAGTTGACTCATTGGAAAAGACCCTGATGCTGGGAGGGATTGGGGGCAGGAGAACTGGACGATAGAGGATGAAATGGCTGGATGGCATTACCGACTCAATGGACATGAGTTTGAGTAAACTCCGGGAGTTGGTGATGGACAGGGAGGCCTGGCGTGCTGCGATTCATGGTGTCGCAAAGAGTCGGACACGACTGAGCGACTGAACTGAGCTGAGTGCCTTAATCTGGTCCAGCTGCCATAACCGAACTACCATGGACTGGGTGGCTTATAAGCAATAGGAATTTCTCTCTCACAGCTCTGGAGGCAGGAGATTTGAGAACAGGGTGCCAGCATGCATGAGTGAGGGCCTGCTTTGGGTTGCAAACTTCTGGTTTTGTCCTCACATGGTGAAAAGGGCAAGGGATCTCTTTGGGGCTCTTTTATTTTTTTTATTTTTTTAAAATTTTTTTTTCAAAAAAAGTTTTTTTAATGTGGACCATTTTTTTTAAAGTCTTTACTGAATTTACAGTATTGTTTCTGTTTTATGTTTTGGTTTTCTTTGGCTAAGATGCATGTGGGATACCTTAGCTCCCCAACTAGGGATCAAGTTTGCACCCTCTGGATTGGAAGGTGAGGTCTTAACCACTGGACTGCCAGCAAATCCCTGAGGCTCTTTTATAAGGGCACTAATTCCATTCATGAGACCTCCACCCTCATGACCTAATCACCTCCCAAAGGCCCAGCCTCCTAATACTTTCATCACCTGGGGCATTAGATTTTCAACACATGAATTTTGGAGGCGGGAGGACACAAACATTCAGACCATAGCAACTGGTAAAGTCTGCTGTGATCCCAGATGCCTCGCTGTAGACCCAAAAGTCTGTCCCAGACTCCATCCAATCCCTGAGGAGTCAGAGGAGAGGCGGTCAGAGCCCCCAGATGGGCAGAGTGGACTTGGTGAGGAAGCAAAGTCAGGGTTGTGACCTAGAGAGGAATCTGACCATCTTCCCAGGTCGGCTTCGGCACGTTTTCTGACAAGGGGGAACAGGGAGTGGTGGATTCTGGTTAGAGCTCGCCAAGCAGCTCCACAAATCCCCAGAAAAGACCACCTCAGGAAGATCAAGGGCAGCCGTGGAGCACCCCCACCGGCTTGCGACAATCAGCTCTCGGGTTCTCGCCAGCACTCTCCCTGCCCCAGTTTTTCCTCCTTGCAGAGCCTGATATTTAATAGAAAATCCATTAGTGTCCCGTGATGGTGCCTCATGCTTCGATGTAGGTTGAGAGCGTCTGGGTAATAGCTGAACCAAAACCGCACTGTGGTGGGGCCCCAGGAGGGAGGAGCTATTTTTTCCTCTTTCTTACATAAAACATCTTTCCAGAGAGCCATGTTCTCCTTTGAATCGAGGCTGCAGCTGGCTTTGGCTTCAAAGCCACTAACCTTCCTGGGCCTGGTGGGTTGGAAGGAGGAGGGGGTGACTGATACTGCAGCCTGCCCCACGCACCTTGAGAACGGCCGGCCGCCTGCAGCTCTTTGGTTCAGCTCTGTAAACACTCCCTGAGTGCACCAGGCCCTGTGCTTGGCCCGGACGGGAGTAAGATGTCANGTAATGAACGCCCCGGCTTTGGCTGAAGTTGGGAGTAAGATGTCAGGCCGCGTCTCGGGCCATCTCGTCTGCTGAAGGAGATCTGGGATGCAGTTGATCGGGCTCAGGCGTGCACAGAATGTGGCCTCGGCCCGGGTGCCCTCGAAGCCACCTGCTAATACATGCTCACCCTCTGTGACGTCACCCCCTCTGCAAAGCCTTTCCTAATCCACCCGTGCTGCCTTTTAGGAAGCAGTTGTGTATACAGTTCTGAAGTTCAGGGGCAAACCATGGGCTGGAGATCACCATCAAGGGCTGTCTGGGGTCCTCGGCCAGAGCAGCGGCATCAGGGAATGCTTGTGGCAAGGGGTGGGGGGGATTGCAGCGGGTCAGCACCATTGTATGAAAATAGCCAGGGTCGACAGCTCTGGACAGAAAGAAGAGGCTGATAGGGTTGTGGAGTCAGGGGAGGAGTTTACTGATTTATTTATAGGCGGGAAGAGAGGTGAACAATTTGTATGAGCCGAAGGGAAGGCGGCAGCAGAGTCACTGAAATCCACGCACTTTGCAGCTGTTGCTTAAGGCCCTGTGACCAGCAAGGACTGGGGAGACAGCTGTGCACAGGACCAGGAGGGGAGTCTGCTGGCCCGCCGTGTGGGAGACAAAATAAGCACGTGGACAAAGCAATGTTGTTCAGCCGCTCAGTCACGTCCGACTCTTTGCGACCCCGTGGACTGCAGCCCGCCAGGCTTCCCTGCCCTTCACTATCTCCCAGAGTTTGCTCAAACTCACGTCCATTGAGTCGATGGACAATTCAGTGAGCTAGCTATTTCAGAGGATGATCACTGAACGGAAGAAATAAACAGGGAGAGAGAATCATGGGGGCCACTTGATCAGAGTGGTGAGGACAGGCTCCCTGAGGAGGGAACTTTCAAGCTGAGAGCTGAGTGACAAGTAGGTGGCAGGAAGGGGCAGGGGGAACTCTGGTGACTCGGTGGCCTTGTGGGTTGGCCTTGCCCAGGAAGGGGGCCAGCTCGTCATCATCTGAGAGTGGGGGTTGGAGGGGAAAGAGGCGGGGCTTGTTGATACGTTTGGAGGTGAGTAGAAGGGGTAATGAACGCCCCGGCTTTGGCTGAAGTTGGGACCCACATGGGTCTGAGAGAGATGCTGGGCCATCTCCCAGGCTCATTCAGCCGCCCAGCCTCCCACCCCCACTTCAGGGTCAGCTCAGGATGTCGGCACCCAGAGGCACCCCCAGACCCTTGACTAACAAGGCAGGGAATCTGCCTGAGTGTGGACAGACAGTGGTAACTGCTCCATATAAAAAAGTAACAACGCCAGGCAGAAAAGCCCACATAGTATAAGATTCCAGTCATGAGAGATATTCAGTATAAGCAAATCCAAAGAAGCTGAAAAATAGATTAGTGGTTTCCCGGGGCTGGGGAACCAGGGAATGAGGACTGACTGCTGAGTGGGAGCAGGGTTTCCATTTGGGAGGATGAGAATGTCCTGGAACTGGAGAGTGGTGATGGTTATACTACATGGCGAATGTACTTAATGCCACTGACCTGTACATTATTAAAATGGTTGCAGTGATAAATTTTATCTTCAGTTGAGTTCAGTCGCTCAGTCGTGTCTGACTGCGACCCCATGGACTGGAGTACACCAGGCTTCCCTGTCCATCAACAACTCCCGGAGCTTGCTCAAACTCATGTCCATTGAGTCGGTGATGCCATCCAACCATCTCATCCTCTGTCGTCCCCTTCTCCTCCTGCCTTCAATCTTTCCGAGCATCAGGGTCTTTTCCAATGAGTCAGTTCTTCCCATCAGGTGGCCAAACTATTGGAGTTTCAGCTTCAGCAGAAGTCCTTCCAAAGAATATTCGGGACTGATTTCCTTTAAGATTGACTGGTTGGATCTCCTTGCAGTTCAAGGGGCTCTCAAGAGTCTTCTCCAACACCACAGTTCAAAAACATCAATTCTTTGACCATCAACTTTCTTTATAGTCCCAACTCTCACATCCATATATGACTACTGGAAAAACCATAGCTTTGATTAGATGGACCTTTGTTGGCACATAAAATGTATGTTATGTGCATTTTTACAACAGTTAAAAAATAAAGAGGGAAAGGGAACAATGAAAACATGCATGCCTTTTCCTGACTGTATAAGTCATATAAGCTCACTGCCTAAAAAATAGAAAGGAAACCTAGGGACTTCCCTGGTGGTCCAGTGGTTAAGACTCCAAGCTTCCATGCAGGGGGCACAGGTTCGATCACTGGTCAGGGAACTAAGATCTCATATGCCAAGTGGCCAAATTAAAAAAAAAAAAGGAAACCACTGACCTAAAAATAATCAAAATCACTATAAACTTCAGTGCATATTCCTTATGCAGACATATGTATAATAATCTCTGATAAAAATGTAACACTGTGTGTTCCCTTTGAAACCTTGCCTCTCATAAACATTTTCCATTATTTTATAACAACTCTATCAAGATATATTCACATACCATACAATTTATTCATTTAAAGTGTGTTCAATGGTTTTTAGTATATTCACAGAGCTGTGCAACCATTACCACAATTTTAGAACATTTTCATCATACCTAGAATGGCTTCCCAGGTGGTGCTAGTGGTAAAGAATCCACCTGCCAATGAAGGAGACACAGATGAGGGTCTGATCCCTGCGTCAGAAAGATCCCTTGGGGTAGGAAATGGCACCCACGCCAGTACTCTTGTCTGGAAAATCCCACAGGCAGAAGAGCCTAGCAGGCTACAATCCATGGGGCTGCACAGAGTCGGACATGACTGAGCATAATCATAATTACCCCAGAAAGAAGGCCTGCCCTCGTTAGCAATCACTCCTCACACCATGGTCTTTAAATAAAGACCTACACCATCATTCTCTCTGACCAAATGGTACCACACTGCATCAAACCTTAGACACGGTCAATTGCAAGGTGCACTTGTTTTATTTACCACTAAGAAAAATTTTAGCCACCTAACCCATGACACGTGCTTCCTTATCTTCTTGTCACTTAATCTGTAGTTGGTGATAGAGGGCTTTTAGACTCATTTGGACATATTTAGCAATGTATGTAGCTCTGTGGAAGTAACAATATGAGACCTATGACCAAATTCATACGTGCACAAGAATAACAGCTAGCCACAGGACACAAGGTGATCTCAGAGATGCTAAAATTTAAAATACAGGAACTTCCCCCAGCGGTCCAGTGGCTAAGACTCCACCTTCCAATGCAGGGGGTGTGAATTTGATTCCTGGTCAGGGAATTAAAACCTGACCACATGCCCCACGGTTTGGCCAAAAAAAACAGTGCTCACCCTGGAATCAACTGTACCCAGTATTGCAGAGTATGGAGTGAACTTGGCTGCGAAACAGCAGAAGTTGACTCTACTCACTCGGGCAGAAAAGGGATTCGGGGGAGGAGCAGTTCAGAGAGTCAGAACTGGAGACCTCCTCTTGTCCAGGTGCCAAGTCATGTCCGGCTCTTTGTGATCCCATGAGCCGCAGCACGCCATGAGTCCCTGTCCTTCACTGTCTCCTGGAGTTTGCTCAGACTCCTGTCCATCGAGTTGATGATGCCATCCAACCATCTCATTCTCTCTCGCCCCCTTCTCCTCGGCTTAGAACCAAGAAAGAATGTGCAGCCTAGAGCACAACTGTCCTAAGCAGCCTTCAGAATGAGTCTGCTCAGGGCGAACTACAGGGCTCTGTCACAACCCTGCATCAGCTCCTTGTCTCCACATCTCCGGACCATTCCTTCAAGAACCAAAGCTCTGGGCAACAGCCTCCAATTGCCCGAGGCTGCACCATTAGGACCAGGGTCTTGTCTCCCACCTGATTTGGGACGTCCTTCCATCTTGGCTGCATAGCCAAGGAAAGACAAATATCACCAAAGTGGATGTGCTACAATTGTTTAGCCCATAGTGTCAGATATTTATACTGTCAACATCTCGGTATCATAAACCAGGCAAGGGTGAACCTCTTCACTCATACGTCATTGTGCGATTGTCAGGACACATCGAGATGTGTTCCCAGGATCGTGGGGTGAAATGACAGGTGCATTTTTAGGCTTTGGACGCTGGCGCTGAGCTGCCCACGTCCGGTGGTCGCACAGGATCCTCTGAGTGGGTGTGCTGTGTCGCTCATCAGCCAGTGTGTACAGAAAGGTGAAGAAAACACAGGTCTGGAGGGGGCATTAAGGGAGTCGGAATGTACAGCGAGGCATGCTCCAGGGCTTTCTCGTGGTGCCAGAGCAGTCTCTGTGTGCTCTCTCAGCTCGCAGTGTGGTGGAAGGGAGTAGAATATTACAACAATAGTAACTAGCAATTACCGAGCGCCTGGCACGTGTTTAAGCTCACGGATGGATTCCTTTGATCCTCACAACAGTCAGTAGATGGGCTGTCTCTGAGTTTGTGTCCTGACCCTATGGCCTTGGCCAGGCCACCTTACCTCCAGCGGCCTCAGTTCCCTTAGATATAGAAATGAAGACGCTGGCCTGGCCCACCTCGTAGGGCCTGCTGTGGGGTCTGACGGGGTCTGGGTTAGGAGTACGCAGGGGGGCCCAGGCAACATTGCCACATCTGCTGTCCTGAGGGAGGAAGGGAGAGGGGGGACTGATTCCCCAGCATTCTGCACCAGCGCCCTCGTGGCCACTCATCAGACCCTTCCCCGCAGGTGGACGAGGTCTTGGGGGACCAGCCGACCGCCAAGGAGCAGGTGTTCGCTGCTCTGAAGCAGTTCGCGGCAGAGCAACGGGTGGACGAGCTGGTGTGGGCGCTCACCCTGGCGCTGCCCCCCGAGGCCCGAGGGCCCCTCCTGGAGAACCTCAGGTACTCGTTCCGGGTCAGGATGGGCCGGCAAGGGTGTCCGTTCTCCCGCCTCCACCCCAGGTGCTGCTGCTGCTGCGTGGTCAGCCCTTGAGCTGGACCCCAACCCCCTGTTGCCCCCAAAGCAGGGTTTTGGGTCAGTGACCCCAAAGGCTGACCCTGGAAAGGGCAGCTGTTGGTGCTGCCGCAGCCAGGATGTCACTTTGAGTGAGAAGGAAGGACTGCTAACTGCTGGCCTGGGATGGGCTGCAGAGAAGATCGGCCTCCTGCTGGCCTGCTCTGTCCCAAACCCAGAGCACAGAAGCCTCCAGCTCTTCACTGAGAGGGAATAATGGCACAGTTCGAGGACTGTGCTGGGCCTATCCTGATCCCCGGTACCCCACCCCTGCCCCCTGAATCCTATAAACAATGTGCTCGCTCTGCCCTTTGTTGATGCCAGCCGGGTGCCAAGAACCTACCAGTGCCCACTTTCTCACTGAATCCCACCAGTACTATCATCATCCCCATTCCAGAGGCAGACTGTGGCTCAGAGAGGTTAAGGGACTGTCCCAGAGTCACACAGCACATGAGCAGCATTCACAAGAACATGAACCAATTGACTGAGCACTTTCTCCTCAGCTTTGGACTCTAAATTCATCCTTCAGGGGGAGAAAAAAATCTCCTGGTAGGTCCTATGACACCTGAAATGGCCTGGGAATCTCCCCAGCGCCCTGACCTCCACCCCCATCCTGCCCCGCGCGGCACGGCTTTGATCAGACCTCCCTGGGCCTGAGTGGAGTGTTCCCCGCACATGTGCTGGGGGGCTGGCTCGGCAGCCCCCGCCTCCAGGGCGGCGGCGGCTCCCCCAGCCCGCCCCTCCCCTCCTGGGCTCAGCCCGTCCCCTCCCCTCGCTGCCATTCACCCCGCGGCCTGCCCCTCCCCTGGGCCTGGCCAATGTCAGGGACCGGGCTGGCCACCCCCACTCCCCAAGCCGGGAGCCGCGCCTCCGCTCTGCAGCGGAGCACAGAAGGCCACGGAAAGAGGCCACCATGAGCTGCCTGGGGTGAGTTGGGGGTCTGACCCTTGCCGGGAAAATCCGGAGAGGAAAAAAGAAAAAAAAGTTATGTCTAGAAACAAATTTGCTGAGATGATGCGCTGGGGCGGAAGGGCTCCCCGCGGAGGTGATGGGCCGGCAGCCCCGCCCCTCCGCATCAGAGCTGGGCCAGGGGCCCGGCGGCCAGGCTGTCCCCGGGGAAGTTGGCACGCGTGTCTGACGGCTCTCAGCGGCCGGAGGCCCTCTCGGTCCGCCTCATCGGTCCTCCCTTCGGCGCTGCCCGGGCTTCCGTCCTCGCCGCCTCTGCCGGGCCAGCCGGTCTGCCTCCTGGGACAGACCCCGTGCCTGCCTTTCCCGTCCACGGCTCGTCCCGAGCTGCCGGCAGCGGGTCCGGAAGAGCTGGGGGAGCGGAGGAGGCGCCCCCTTGGGCGTGCTCGATTGAGAGCCTGGGAAGCGGGAACGCTGGACACCTGGGGATGCCCGGTCCCCGCAGCGTCCCCGGGGCGCCGCTGGGGGAGATGAAACAGCAGCCTCTGTTGTCAGCGCGTGTCAAGTGCGACAGGAAAATTGGGGAGGCTGCCGGAGGAGGAGGGGGCGGCGCCCAGCTGGGCTCTGCAGGGAGAGGGGTCCCCTGGCAGCGTGGCTTCCGCCCCCATCCCCCAACTCCCCACCTCCACCACCAGGCTCCAGGGGCTGATGTACTGGGTTCTAGGGGTGAAGTGGTGATCCCCACGCAGCCCCTTCCCGAGAGAGCTCGGACAGGGCCCAGAGGAATAGCACAGACTCAGTTTTCTATGATTCTGAGAGCTGAGCGCCAGCCGAAGGGTAGCACGGGGCAGTCAGGGCAGGCTGCCCAGAGGAGGCGGCAGTCCCAGGGCCGCAGAGTGGCCAGGGGGGGTGCAGCCGTGTGTCCTGCGGAGGAGGGAAGACGGCTCATCAGGGCCAGGCATCCAGCTGCAGAGGGGAGCCTCGGAATGCCAAGGTGAGGGTGCTGCCTTGTAGAACCCAGCCTCAGGTACCAACCGTGCCTAGCTGTGAGTCACCCCGCCTTGGCAGGGGGCCGTGAAGGGCTCTGGCCCTGGGACCCTGCAACTGAGGGGAATGAAGTGAGACAACCTGGACACCTGGGGACGCACAGGGTAAAGATACATGTGGGCAGGTGCGTGGGCACGCTTGACCGAGGCTGGAAACCGCTTCAGTCACCATGCAACTTCTGAAGGTGGTCCAGGTGCCAAAGCAGAGGACTTGGGGAGAAAGAAGAAGGAGCAGTGAGACCGTGAAGCTGGGTCAAGCCAGAGCAGTAGCCACTAGCCACATGCCACTCTTTAAAATGAAACTTAATGAATATAAAATGCAATTTAAAATTCAGCTTCACAGTCTCAGCAGCCACACGGCACGTATGGAGTGGCCCCGTCTGGCTGGTGGCCGCCCTGCAGGACAGCGCACACGGGGAGCATGTCCATCCGCAACTTGCATCCATCTCGGCCAGCGTGGCCTCTTCATCTTAGTGTGGCCACGAGGGCGAGATTTGGGTCAGTGGCAGCGATGGAAGTAGAGGGTCTTATCTTTCTTTATGACGGCAGTTACTCCTGTGGCTCAGAGCCTGATTTGGGTCTGTCCCCAAAGGGATCCCAGTTTGATGAAGTGATAAAAATGACTTTCTAATTAGGACAGGCCAGGGAGTTTGGAAAGTGTGACGCGGTTGAGAGGGAACAGGCAAGCGAAGTGGGCTTCGTGCCCTGCTAGTGTTTCAGGAAACAGGCAAAGAAGGGAAGGATCAGGGGGAGGGCAGGGGAGAGGGCAGCCATGGAGGTGGTTGGGGAAGCTGGGTTCTGAGTCCTGGCAGATTGCACTTGACCCCCCAGTCCACTCACGGGCTCTGTGACCTTGAGCAGATTCACTAACCTCAGCAGTTTATCCATAAAACGGGGTCCATCATTTCCATGTGTTCCCTCCCAGCAGGGTTCTTGGTGGGAAAGCATGTAAATAGACTCTGCCAACTGCCAGCATCCAAGAGATTCATTGAGAAACTGGGGTTTAGGGTTCGAGCACCTCTTTCACCCTCCTCTGCTTTAATGACAAATGTCAGAGACAACATCACACAAAGTTATTTGGAAAATTTGGTGACAGCATGTCAGAAGCAGTGCCAGGCATCCAGCACATGCTGGATGAAACTGGTTTACCCCAGGGAAGGTCTCTTTCTCCCTAGAGAGGTCTCTCAACCACAGCGCTATCAACATTCAGAGCTTGGTGATTCTCTGTTGTTGGGAGCTCTCCTGTACTTCGCTTATAGCATCCCTGGCCTCCTCCCACCAGATGCCATAGCACAACCCCCTCTCGCTTGTCATTTTATGACAACCAAAACTCTCCCCAGAGAGTGCCGAATGTCCTCTGAGGGGTAAAGTCACCCCCAATTGAGAAGCCCTGCCCGAGTGTGATCTGCCCTTTGGTGGTACCCTCTTGCTGGGGCAGATGCTTCAGCAAAGGCCAGTCCGGCCCACCCTGTGCTGCTTTGGGTCAGAGGCACCAGCTCTGAGGTGGCCCCATGGCAGCGTGTGCACGGCTGGCTGTGTCCGGATGCAAGCAGGAGCATCTTCTCCGTGGTCACATCTCCAGTGCCCACAGACACGTGGAGTCGTCACCATCCTCGGGCAGGCCTGGTTCTGGGTGCTGGGCCATCACAGCTGACGCATGACCACCGGGAAGGGCTCTGTCTTGACGGGACAGTGAGTGCCCTCGGCCCGTGGACGCAGGGAGCTGCGCTCACTGTGAGCAGGGCTGAGGCCAGGCCCAGGGGGACCCCGAGTGAGGACAGGCTCTGGCTTCCTGCTGCTCCAGGGAAGAACTTCAGCCCCATGAGGTCACGCCAGGCGGGGGGCGTGGGGGGGGGGTCCTCGCTGGGGCCGGGCATGGGGACCAAAGTGTGCTGGGCAGCATGGCCTGGATGGAGCAGGGAGACTGACCGTCGGGTCTGCAGGGGCCTCCTTGTGACAGACACAAGAGCCCACAGGAGGACCATGAAGGGTGCTCCCCACAAGACTGAGATGGAGACTGAGTCCCCAGGGGCTCCTGCCTCTGACGTTCCAGCCTGTTTGGGTGGTGACTGCCTCCTGATGGGAGAGAGCCTCTTGATGACCCCCGCACCCTGTGCAGTGGCCCTTGAGAAGCCCCTCCCCAGGATGCCCTGGGCGGCTCGGGCATCTACCCTTTGGTCCCCAGAACTCAGATTCTCACCCTTTCAACCTGAAGCTAGGGCTCATGACCTAGCTAGGGGGGACCTAGTGGGGTCCCTGGGGTCTGCTCCTGCTCAGACCCCAGAGAGTGGCAGGCCCAGAAGCGACCTGATGCCTCTTTCTTCTTAGCTCCGTCTCCTCCCTTGCAGGTCCTCCCCTCTCCTTTCCAGTAGAACACATTCATCCCAGGGAGACCCCCTATTCCCCCACCATCACCCTCACCTGCCCCCTCCTCACTTGCCCCCAGGTCTCATTGACTCTACCTCCTGTGTTTTAGAAACTAGCTGCTTGTCCCATCCCAGCATCCTTCACTGTGCCCCCTCCCAGCATCACCCCACCCCTGGTGTACCAAAACCTTCAGAGTGCCTTCACCTCCTCTTAAATCCTTAGACCCTCCCATGGCTCCTCTCTGCTCGCAAGAGTGTAGGCTGAGCTTTGCCAACGGCATTCAAGGCCTCCCTCTCTAGCCTCTTTTTCTTTGGAGCTTCCCGCGGGTGAGGAGGGAAGGCCGCTCTGGCCGACACACCGGCTGAATCCTTGAGTCCCAGCGTAAAGGCCACCTCTTCCAGAAAGCCTTCCCAGACTCTACATAAGGCAATCGGAGCTTCCTCTGAACTGTCGGGATCCGTCTCGCTGCCGGTGCTGGGGACTCCCCGGGGCGCCACAGCCCGAGGGATCAGAGGCGAGGCGCCTGGGGAAGGTCTCGTGGACGGGGGCCAGAGGAGGCCGAGGGGCGGCTCGAACGGCCCCAGCTCGCGAGGAGCTGACGGGAGAGTTCCCGGAGGGGCGGGGCGGGGCGGGGCCACCATGAGCGCGCTCGCCCGGCAGAGGCGCGTGGAGTCGCCGCGCCCTCGCTCCGCTCCGGGCTCCGCACCCCCGGGCCATCGGCACCTAGCGCGCCGCCATCGCCGTCTCCAGATGGGGAAGGACCAGGGCTTCTCTCGGCACTTTCGGTAGTTTCCCCGAACCGCGCGTACCGAACCCGCGGGAACCGCGCGCCCTGGTGCGACGGACCCGCCTCCGGCTGACTTGAAAAGGGGTGGGGCTCGGGCACCGAGGGGCTTCCCTGCTCTGGGTGCGTACCCAGCAAGTCAGCCTGACTGGGGGCAGGGGCTTGGGAGAGTGGACATAAACCCAAAGGGTATTAAAGAGGGGGTTCCTCGCGGTGGGCACTTGCCCGCCGCCCTAGGGGTCGGGATGCGGGATGGGGACCAAGGATGGGATTGAAAAGTCCTCTTTCCTTCGTGCAACTGGACAGATCCAAGGAGCTAGACAGAGAGCGAGGCAGAGACGGTGATTGAGACAGAGGGCCTTGTGGGGGCCCCCGATGGGAATCTGGAGTTGGATTTGGACCCAGCCCCCTAAGAAAACAGATCAACTCTTGAGTGCAAGGTCACTGGATGGCCTCCCAAAGAGCCCCGTGGCCACAGAGAAGCCTGCTGGCACAGCAGGGACCTGGGAGTCTGAGGACAGTGGTAGCCAGGCCGTCGGTTCAAAGGGGCGTCTGTCCATCAGCCACAGTTGTCCATGAGGCCCCACTGCACCTAGATCTGCTGGGGCTGTCGGCTCGGAGCAGACCCAGGGCTGGAGTGCATGGGCCAGACAGAGGCACACGCAGGGCCCACACCAGCCAGAAGGGCGTCTGGCACACCAGGCTGGCTAGGCTTCCATCTCAGGCCCACGGACACCGAGGAGGGCAGAGGGCACCCAGCCTTCTCCCGCCTGGGCAGTTGGTGACTCACCCTGGTTCCCACTGTGGGGGTGGGGGAGGCCCTTTCTCGTTGCTGCTAGAGGGTTGGACCTAGGGGCTGGGGCTGTTGGGCTGATACGTTCTGGAGCCTGAGGCCGGAGCCCAAAGGGTAAAGCAGACGCTTTCGTGCCTGTCATCTCTGCTTTGCTTGGGCAGGAGACGGGCAGGGACCGTGCAGGCCAGCAGACGGAGACGTCTGGCTCTGCATACCTTGGAGTACCATCCGGGGAATGCGGCTAAGGCCCTGGATTTTCGGAAATCGCTGGGGTGGGCACGGATGAGTGTATCGGGTGATGGCTCTCCTGGCAGAGACGAGCAGGCCATCATTCTTGCCTCCCGCTTGCCTGGAACGTCCCGATCTGGACCAGAGTTCACGGGGCGGTGGGGGGGGGGGGGGACNGGGGGGGGGTTCACCCTCCTCCCCAGGGACGCGCATCCCTTCCCTCCCACCAGGCAGCCACCTGGCCTCATTAAACCTACCCACAGAGATCAAGGGAACTGGTGGGGGCCACCAGGCAACCTCAGAGGGATTGGATGTCTGCTGGCTGCAAGGCCACTGCTCCCTGCCCTCCCCCATGCCCTTGGCGCTGGCTCCTGGTCCAGAGAATAGGGAAAGGAGCCTTGGGATGCAGCCAGGGAGGCCTCACTAGCAAGCAGAACTTCAAGGGCCCTCGATGGAGCCCGGTGACAGTGTGGAGGCCAGAGCCCGGGTTCCACCTCAGCCGTGGACCGCCGCATAACCCTGGAACGTGACGGACCCCCTCTGAGCCTGAGAATCCGCTGCCAGGGGCCAGGGAGTCCCCAGGATGTTGACCGCTGCCCTTACTCAGAGGTGTGGGGGGCCGCTGCTGGACCACCCTGTCTACTGCGTCACTGAGTCCTAACTGCGCTCAGCCCTGGCCGGTCACCGTAGCTCACCCCCGAGCTGCAGACCCCGTCCTCCGAGAGCTTCCAGCCTTGTAGAGGAGACCCAGGGGCCCCGCGGAAACGTCCCAGGGTGTGGACGAGCCTCCCTGAGGCCTCGCAAGGCACTTCCAGGTCTGAAAGCAGGAACCACAGTGCCTTCACCTTTGAAGCCCAGCGCCTGGCAGGCACTGATAGCAGGGACTTCCTAAAACATGTTGGACTAAACTGGGGGAAGGCCAGGGTTGGGTGTCCAAGGCGAACCCAGGTCAGCTAAGGGAGCAGAGTGTGCTGGGGCGGGGGGCACAGGCTGGGCCAAAGGGTAGGAGCAGGACTGGATGCCGTGGTCCCCACCCACACTGGGGGTGCTGGTGGGAGACCCAGTGCGGGACTGGGAGTCTCATGAGGGTCTAGGCGAAGTCTGACCCCAGCGCGGATGGTGGCTAGGTTTTCTCCAGCAGACTTTTCTCCTGGAACCAGGCGGGGAGAAGGTGGGGGGGGGGGGACCCCCTGGCTGAGGTTTGGCCTGGCTGGTGTGAGGGCATGAGAGGAGGGAAGTCCGGGGGAGCCAGAGACGGGAAGACAAAGGCAAGAGGAGGAACAGGTCCACGGAAGGGCTTGGAGGGCACTGAGGCCAGAGTAATGGGGACCTGGGGAAGGAGGCTTTCCCAGAGTGGAGCGAGCTGGGCGCCGCGGCCCTCGTGTGACCTGGGCCCACTAGGGCACAAGTCCAGGCCCCAAGGGGGACACTGATGCCCCAGGCCACTGCTGGGCGGAGAAGTGCGCCCAGTGCGGCGCCCGCGAAGTTTGCCGGGGTCGGGGCGCGACCAGGGGGCGCGCCCCGATTCTGTGGTCCTCGCCCGCAGGATCTTCATCCCCAAGAAGCACCGGGCGCGCTTCGACGAGGTGGTGTCTCAGGGTCTGCTGGGCAAGCTGTGCCGCGCGCGGCGGACGCAGGGCGCGCAGCGGCTGCGCCGGAGCCGCAGAGCAAGGCCGCCTCTTTGCTGGGCGGCCGCGCGGGCCCCGGGGGCGCGCGCAGGTACCCGGGACGGGCTGCGGACGCCTCTCCGTCTGTGGGCTCAGGAATGGAGACCCGGGCCGAGGGCGCGGGGGCGAAGCGGGGGCACCTGGGGGTTGGAGTCCGGAGAGGTTAAGGGGAGTGGGACGCGGGCCCTTGCCATCCCATGCTCCCCGCGGGCTCCTGTCCCCAGAGAAAGGCACGCTGAGCGACCCCACCCCGCCCCTTCTTTCTCCCCAGGACAGTCCGAGTCTACAAGGGCAACAAGAGCTTCGGCTTCACGCTGCGTGGCCATGGACCTGTCTGGATCGAGTCTGTTCTGCCTGGTGAGGGGTGGGTGGGTTGTTCAGAATGGGGTGCAGGAGCCTGTGAGGTCGATGGTCAGCAGCTGCTCCCCTCTTCAGGTCCCAACCTTGAGGAGCCTGTGTCCTTTAAGTGTCCCAGCAGCCGACCCAGATCACCCATCTTCCCCAGTCGGGGCAAACCCCCTCCAAGTGCAGGGTCACCTTTGAGCCAGGTTCTCCATTCAGACCTTTCCTGCGCCCGCAGGGAGGACCCGGGGCCCTGCCTGAGACTGCAGCAGCCAGCACAGAGCCTGTGCCTGCCCAGATCGGGCCCCAGACCACCCTCCCTGCGCCCACTGCCCACTGAGAACTGGGCATTTGATGGGCAGGCTGCAGGGCTCCAGGGCCTCTTCCCAGTATCCGGTCTCCAGGGACTCCCCTCTTCCACCCCTGGCCTGCCCCTTCTTGCTCGTGGAATGGTGACATCTGGAGGAATTCCTCCTTGCCGCCCCTCGGTTGGCAAGGGGAGGGAAGACTCATTTCTTGGGAAGGAAGTGCATTCCGTTGTGGAAGCTCTCTGCAGGCAGAACGGCTCCGGGCGCTGCTCTGAGCTCTCCTGCTCTGTCACCACCGGGTCTGTCCTGCCCCCTGAGCCCCTCCCCTGGGCGCGATGCTTCCAGTGACCCATCCCCATGGGCTCACCTGCTGATGCTGAGTTCCTTCTGCCCTTCTGCATCTCATGTCCCCGGTGCATGGATCTGTGAGAAAAGCTCTCCTGATCTCTGCCACCCACCTCTCTTCTCACCTGTAAAACAGGACAACGACTTGGGGCTCCCCGGGGCGGGTCCCTGCTCAGCTGACCCGCCCTCTCACCTTGCTTCCAGGGAGCCCGGCTGACAATGCCTCCCTCAAGTCAGGAGACCGGATCCTCTTCCTCAATGGACTGGACATGAGGTCAGTGGCAAACAGCCCCCAGGACTCCTGACTCTCGGGACATCCCGGCCACGGGCCTCTGACCAGTTGGTCCCCTGTTTGTCCCCCCTCCTATGGGAAGTCTTGAATCTGCCCTCCCACCCTCTCCAGGATGTCAAGTCGTCCTTCCAGCCGGGAGACACCCAGGCTCCGTGCTTGGGGCAAAGGGTTGACTGGATCATGTGTGTCGTTCCCTTGGGGGGGACCCTACAGGGAGGACAGGGGCATGACGCCTTCTGTACCCACAAGTGTCCAGCTGGCCCTGGGCCTGCAGCTTCTCCTGCAGAGAAGGTCAATGCACGGGCGAGGCAGGGCCCTGGCTTCGGGCCCGCCTGTGGCCTCACCGTGTGGCCTCCTCCAGCAGGACAGGGGGTCCGGGGGTGGTGTGCGCTTGGGTCACGCTGGGCCGGCCCTCCGGGGCCCCCTCTGCTCGGCAGGAACTGCTCCCATGACAAGGTGGTGTCCATGCTCCAGGGCAGCGGCGCCATGCCCACGCTGGTGGTGGAGGAGGGGCTCGTCCCGTTCGCCAGCGGTGAGACGCCCATGGCCCTGGGTCGCCTTGGCCGCTGGAGCCCCTACTTGGGTCACCAGGGGTGGGATTCCCGAGTCTACCGAGGCCTCTGCTCTCCCCGCAGACCTGCAGCTTCCCTCCCCAGGTTGGGCAGCCTCAGGGCTCCCCCTCCAGCCCCGTCCTCATCTCTCACCCCAGCTCGGGAGGTCCCCTGGCCCTAGCAGCTGGGCAAACCTTGCCTAGGCTGGGGACGCCAGCTCACTCGTGTTTCTCCTTCCTGTGACACCCCCACCGAAGATTCCGACTCGATGGATTCCCCCAACCCGTCGTCGGCGCTCACCTCCCTGCAGTGGGTGGCAGAGATCCTCCCGTCCAGTATCCGAGTGCAGGGAAGGACCTTCAGCCAGCAGCTGGAGCACCTGCTCACGCCCCCCGAGCGCTACGGGGTCTGCCGGGCCCTTGAGAGCTTCTTCCAGCACAGGTGGTCACCCCAGGGTGGCAGGGGTCGGGGGCATCTGCCGTGGGTGGACCCCAAATCCTGCCCAGACTCACCACCACTCACCTGCCTGAGCTCCTGAGAGCATCTCAAAGGGGCCTCTGAATGTGGGGTCCACTGGGTTGCCCTAAACAAACCCCAGCTCTGACACCTCCCAGCCACGTGACCTGGCCAGGTCCCAGCCTCGTCTGTAAATTGAAGCAGACAGTGAGCCCCTGCAGTATGGTTGGCAGGACCTTCAAAACACCCACCCTTGGGCACTCACAACCAGCCTGACCCTATTCAGGTTGGAGTAGCATCTTTCTTTTCCCACCTCAGCAGCAGCGGGAGCGTTTATCACACGCCTCAGCCCAGAGGGTCATTGTCTTGGTCCATGCAAGACATGCATCCTTTTTCGGTTTAAACAAAAATGTATGTGTTTGTTGAAATATAACTCACATACCATACAGTTCACGCATTTGAGTGTACAATGCACTGGTTCTTAGTATGTTCACAAACGTGTTGTAACCATCACCACATTCAGTTTTAGGACATTTTCATCACCTCAAAAGAAAGTCCCAACCATTTCACAGTTGTTCACACCCCCCCAACCTCCCCCACTCCCCCTTCACCTTAAACCACCAGTAATCCACTTTCCTTCTCTGTAGGTTTCCCTGTTCTGGAGATTTCAAATGCTGGAACCATACGCTATGTGGACTTCTTTATAACCATTTTCCCACCTTTTAAATTTTTAATTAATTTATTTCTGGCCATGCTGGGTCCTGGTTGCTGCTCACGGGCTTCCTCTAGTTGCGGAGAGCGGGGGCTCCTGCAGCTGCGGCGCATGGCCTTCTTGTTGCCGCGGCTTCTCTTGTTGAAGAGCGTGGACTCAGTCGTTGTGACTCAGGCTTAGTTGCTCCGAAGCATGTGGGATTCTTCCTGGACCAGGGATCGAATCCATGTCCCCTCCACTGGCAAGATTCTTAACCGCTGGACCACCAGGGAAGTCCCAATGTGTGGACTTTTATGTCTGGTTTCTTTCATTTAGCATGTTTTCGACATTCACATGGGCTTCCCTGGTGGCTCAGTGGTAAAGAATCTGCTTACAACGTAGGAGACATAACAGATTTCTGATCCCTGGGTTGGGAAGATCCTCTGGAGAAGGAAATGGCAACCCATTTCAGTATTCTTGCTTGGGAAATCCCATGGACAGAGGAGCCTGACTACGGTCCATGGGGTCGAAAGAGTCAGACATGGCTTAGCGACTAAACAACAATAGCATTCATCCAAGTTATAACACCCTCAGTCAACCCTCCATATCTGTGGGTTCTGCATCTCCAGATTTCAGCAACCATGGAACAAATATATGTGGAAAAAATTACAGGAAGTTCCAAAAAGCAAAACTTAAAATTGACTAGAATTCCCTGTACATTTCGGATACCGATTCCTTATTGATGTTAGACATTGTAAGTATCTTCTCCCATTTGTTACTGTCTTATTTCCATTATATCTAGTATTGTCAGCCCCAGGTTTTCTTGATTTTGTATCATCACATTCAATGCATATGGGGCCTTATGGCTTTGGCTTTTGAATTTTTATTTAAAAAGTCCTTCCCTGCTCCTTGGTCAAAAGAAATCTCCTGCATTATCTTCTGTTAGTTCTGTAATCATACCTTGCACAGTTTGGTCTTTTATCCACCCAGGGTTCATCTTTATGTGTGATGTTACATGAGGATCAGTTTTATTTTTTTCCATACAATGCAGGGATCAGCAAACTTTCTGGAAAGGAACCAATAGCAAATACTTTAGGGTTTGCAGGCCGTACAGTCTCCACTGAAAGCTGAAACCCTTCAGCTTTGCTGTTGTCACTTGAAAATGATCAGAGACAATATGCACCAGTGCAAGTGGCCATGTTCCCGTAAATCTTGCTTTACAAAAACAGGTGGAGGGCCAAATTTTGGGCCTTGGGCCATTATTTACCAGTGCCTTGAGTCAGTTTTCCAAATATGTTCTATACATTTTTCTAATTTAAATTCTTGGCCCTGGAGCACGGGGGAGGTTAGTTCCCTGACCAGAGGAACCTGTGCTCCCTGCATTGGCAGTGTGGAGCCTTAACCCCTAGACCGCCAGGGAAGTCCCCATTCTATCCATTTTAATCTTCACAACAGCTCTGTGCGGTAGATGCTTTCCCCTCATCCCCCAGCCAAGCAACCCAGCTTACAGGATCTTCAGTTCAATTCAGTTCAGTCACTCAGTCGTGTCTGACTCTTTGCAACTCCATGAACCTCAGCACGCCAGGCCTCCCTGTCTATCACCAACTCCCGGAGTCTACCCATACCCATGTCCATTGAGTCGGTGATGCCATCCAACCATCTCATCCCCTGTCGTCCCCTTCTCCTCCTGCTCTCAATCTTTCCCAGCATCGGGGTCTTTCCAAATGAGTCAGGATCTTAGTTCCCCCGAGTAGGGATTGAACCTGGGCCACAACAGTGAAAGTCTAAAGTCCTAACCCCTGAGCCGCCAGCAAACTCTCGGTAGATACTATTTTTGTCTCCCATTTTACAGAGGAGGAAACTGAGACACAGAGAAATGAGTAATAGGAGAAGATCACTTGGCTGGCAGGTGGCAGAGCTGGGATTTGAATCCGGGCAGGTTGTCCGCAGAGCCTGCCTTCCCACCCACTTCTCTGTCTGGGGAAGGAGGGGAAGGGCGTGAGGACCTGAAGTGCCCCCCACCCCCACCCCGTCCCCAACCCAGCCCGCTCTGGTGAACCCCTGAGTCATGAACTCCTTGATCTGCACCCCCCTCCCCCACCAGGAACATCGACACCCTCATCGTCGACGTCTACCCGGTGCTGGACACTCCGGCCAAGCAGGTCCTCTGGCAGTTCATCTACCAGCTGCTAACTTACGAGGAGCAGGAACTCTGCCAGGAGAAGATCGCCTGCTTCCTGGGCTACATGGCCATGACCGGTGAGCGGCCCCGCCCCCTGGCCCGCTGGCCCAGAGAAGAGCCAGACGCCTGTTCTCACCTGGGAGGCTTTACAGCCGGCCTGGCCCCTCCCACTCTCAGATGCACCCGTGCTCTAGCTAGCATCTTCCCAGGTGGCCCAGTGGTGAAGAATCTACCTGCCAATTCAGGAAACACAAAGAGTCACAGGTTCGATCCCTGGGTTGGGAAGATGCCCTGGGGTAGGAAACGGCAACCCACTCCAGTGGCCTGCAGAATCCCATGGACAAAGGAGCCTGGCGGGCTACAGTCCATGGGGTCGCAGAGAGTTGGACTTGACTATAGATACATGCCCAACACTCCCCGGCTGGTCCCTTGCTTGATTCCACAGATGCACTTTCCCAGTTTGATCCTTAAAGTAGCGTAACCTTAGACTCTTTTTTTTTTTTTTAATATTTATTTATTTGGCTGTGCTGGGTCTTCCCTGTGGCATGTGGGAGCTTTGGTTGAGGCATGTGAACTCTGAGTTGCAGTATGTGGAATCTAGTTCCCTGACCAGGGATCAAACCCGGGGCCCCTGCTTTGGGAGCACAGAGTCTTAGTTTAGCCACTGGACCACCAGGGAGGCCTCGCCTTAGACTTCAAACACCCCACCTAACGCCGGGGGTCTCGGGTTTCTCACCCACGTAGTGAGGGTGAGCACACTGGCTGTGCTTTGCACCCCAGGGAGGGTGGCACAGATCAAGGGGTCCGTGTGGACGCTGTTTACAGACCTGGGTGGTGAGCACACGGCCAGCTCACCCTGCCTGATGGGCTCTGAGGCCCGCAGACTCACACGAGAGCCTGTGGGTCCCTGTGCAGCCTCTGACCTCCCGCCCCCCGCTGTTCCACTGCTGTGTGTCCGCCTGCCCACACACACCTCAGCACGTGGGCTGCGGGCACCCAAAGGGGGCCAAACCTTGGACGCCTGCCCTGGACTGCCTGCACATCTCCTATGTGCTCTCCCGGATGCCCACTAACCCTCATCCTGGGGACCCACAGGTGGGAGTTGGGGGGAGAGGGTTTGAACTCAGATGCAGACTGGGCAGCAGACATCCCTCCCACACTTCTGCCCTGACCTGGAATCTTCCATCTCACCCCTGCGGGCAGCGGCGTCCGGTGTGCAGACCTTGGACTCATGGGGTCCTAGGCTGTCGTCCTGAGAAAGGACCTGCTGGGTAGGGAGGCTGTGACCCCCTCCGCACGGCCTCCGTCTTCAGGCCGGCACCACCTGGGGCCCCTCCTGCGCTGGGCACCCCGCTTCCCATCCCAGGGCTCCCCCTGAAAGCAGGGCCGGGCTTGCGGGTGGTGCCCTCGCCCTCCCTGTGTTCGGAGGCTCCTTGTCCGGCTGAGAGGACAAGGAGCCCGTCTCGCCGTTGGTCCCACAGCCGAGCCCGAGCCCGAGCTGGAGCCGGAGCTGGAGCCCGAGCCGGCGCCCGAGCCCCAGACGCGGAGCTCCCTGAGGGTCCCCTCCCTGTGCCGCCGCAGCCTCCGCTCCCAGGGCCTGGAGGCCGGCCTTGGCTGTGGTGAGGCCCGGGACCAACAGGCCGCCAGTGGGGGCAGGGCGGGCCCGGGCTTGGTTTTCCCACCCGTAAAATGGGCTTGGCGAGATGAGACATCCCCGAATGGGCTGAGTGGGTGCCTCCTCCCCGCGGGTCTGCAGGGCTTGGTGCTTCTTTCTCCAGGGCCTGGGCTGGGGTCTAACCCTCAGAGCTCAGAGGCGGTCACTAGACCCCCCACCCTCTGGTGGACTCTGCCCTCCTGATTCCCCCGGCAGGTCCTGGCGACTGTCCGGAGATGCCTCTTCCTCCCATCCCAGGCGAGCGGCAGGCAGGCGACGGCACATCCCTCCCTGAGACGCCCAACCCCAAGATGGTGAGACATTCTTTCCGCCCTGCTCCTGGTGTCAGCGGGGAGCTGGGAATGGGAGCTGGGGCAGACCCTGGCCTCCCAGACCACCCAGGCCTGCCTCTGAGGGCCAGCCGGACTCACCCACACCTCCTCCTCTCCCGGAAGATGTCAGCCGTCTATGCGGAGCTTGAGTCCCGCCTGAGCAGCAGCTTCAAAGGGAAGATGGGGACCAGCTCCCGAGCCCGTGCCTCCCCGCCACTGCCCAGCGCGGCAGGCCCAGCAGGTAGGGGCTCTCCAGCCCCGGCTCCCAAGGGCCACTCCTGCCTCCTGGCCAGCTGGCTGGATGTTGCCCCCACCCCCAGGCATACCCCCCTAGAGCCCCTTTTTCCTCCGCGGCCGTGGGACTGAATGCTGGGGAACCCGGGCAACCTCCGTGGCTAGGGGCCATCAAGATCCGCCTTGTCCTGGCCGCCTTCCCGTGTCCCCTCTCTGATCCTCGCCCCCACTGTGGATCTGGAAAAGCGGAGGGCTGCTCCCAAGGGGTGGGGGTGGCCCTCAGTGAACGTGTAGCTGTCGCATAAACTAGAGAGTGTGCGTTACTCTATGAATGGCTCAGTGCGCAGATGGCCGCCCGCACAACGGTTTCTCTGCCGTTCTGAAGGCAGGACCCCTGGGTGATACTTCTGAGGGCCAAAGGCTTGCTGGGTACCGTGACTTTGGTCTGGAGACCCCCTCACCCTTGCCTTCTGTTCAGTGGGTTCCGGGTGGGACCCTGGGATCCTCTCCAGGATGAGCAGGGATCTGCCTGTCCTGGGCCCAGCAGCCCGCCCTCTGTCCACTCTGGCCTCCGATCATCCTCAGGGAAGACCTGGAGAGGCAGAGTTACCAGAGTCTTCCTGCGCTGTGTCCAGAGAGGGAGAGAGAGGTGCCCAGGGGCTCAAAGCCCACCTGCCCTGGCACCCTCCCCCCAGCCTGTGCTGGAACCCAGGCACTGACCCAGGAGTGGTCCTCACGGCCCACCCCCCCCCACAGGGCCCAGGACCCGGTCCAGCATCTCGTGGCCCAGCGAGCAGCTCCTGCCCTCCCCCAGCTACTACCCGCTGTGCTCAGAGGGCCTGGCCTCCCCCAGCAGCTCCGAGTCCCACCCCTACGCCAGCCTGGACAGCAGCCGGGCACCTTCCCCTCAGCCGGGCCCCGAGCCCGTCCGCGCCGAGAGCCCCCCCAGCCCGGACCCCAGCCGCCGCCCGTCCAGCCGCCGGAAGCTGTTCGCCTTCTCCCGCCCTGTGCGAAGCCGGGACACCGACCGCTTCCTGGATGCGCTGAGTGAGCAGCTGGGCCCCCGGGTCACCATCGTGGAGGATTTCCTGAGCCCCGAGAATGACTACGAGGAGGTGAGCATACAGGCACGTGTGTTGGGGGGAGGCGGGCAGGGGGCCTGTAAGGGGACTGGGGTCCTGGGGCTCCTGCCAGAGGTCTGCTGCCCCAAGGGCTGTGCCCCAGGCTCCCCCTCCCTGTCTCCCAGCACACTCCGCTCCCCATCTGGAGCTGTCCCACCCCTGGCTCAAGCTTCGACACCCCCCTACCCAAGGCCACCCCATGTACCGGGTCTCAGGTTCCTTCGCCAGCTCAGACCGACCCCATCCAGCCCCTGGGCCATGCCTCCGCTGCCCTAGGCCTTCCGATCCTCCGCACCTCGGCCCCTGCCCCTGTCTCCCCCGGGGCCCCGCCTGGCCCTCCCCTCGCCTGGCTGTCTCCCCAGATGAGCTTCCACGACGACCAGGGCAGCTTCATCACCAACGAGAGGAGCAGTGCCAGCGAGTGCATCAGCAGCAGCGAGGAAGGCAGCTCCCTGACCTACTCCTCCCTCTCCGACCACATCCCCCCACCTGCGCACCCCCCATGCTGCCCCGGGGCCTGGGCCACCGCCGCAGCGAGACAAGCCACATGAGCGTCAAGCGCCTGCGGTGGGAGCAGGTGGAGAACTCAGAAGGCACCATCTGGGGACAGGTAGGTGACCTGGGGACCCGGAGCGCTCTGCACCAGGGGAGGCAGCTCGGGCAGCAGCAGTGAAGACAAGGTCCACCTCTGGGGTGCTTCCAACATCAGCTGACCGTCCTCGGGCCCTCCCCATCCTCGGCAGACGAACAAGAGCTCGGTCCAGGGACACACTCACCCTCAGTGGTCAACACAGGCACCGAAGCCCAGTCAGTGTCCCTGAGCCGGTGACATGCTGGGGACACGCAGAAAAGGCACCGCTCTCACCCTTGAAACCTATCACCCGAGATGTGAATGGTCCCCTTAGGCTCTTGGAGCTGAGAGAAGGACAGCTGGTTAGAGAGTCACAGACGTTTGAGCTGTCAGTCTGCGTGCAGTGTGTTCACAGGAGCCGAGACCAGAGGATTCTGAAAAGGGCAGCTGGTCCAAACCCCCACGCAGCAGCCTCTCCCCTTTCACTTTTTGCAGCTTCTTTCTTTCTGGCTGTGCTGGGTCTTCATTGCTGCATGGGCTTTTCTCTAGTTGCAGAGAACGGGGGCTCCTCTCCAGTTGCGGTCCGCGGGCTTCTCATCTCAGTGGCTTCCCTTGGGGCGGAGCACAAGCTCTAGGGTGTCCTGGCTTCGGTCGTTGCAGCAGATGGGCTCAGCAGTTGCGGCTTCCGGGTTCCAGAGCACAGGCCTTGGTAGTTGTGGCAAATGGGCTTAGTTGCTCTATAGCATGTGCGGTCTTTCCCAATCAGGGATCGAACCGTGTCTCCTGCATTGGCAGGTGGATTCTTTACCACTGAGCCACCAGGGAAGCCCCCAGCCCTTCACCCTGATGCTCGAGTTTCCTCCCAAACAGCACTGCCAGTATTTACTTGGTCACCTTCACTGATGGGGAGCTCACTACCTGCCGAGACATCCCTTTCCTCCCTGGACAGTTTTCACCATCCATCCTTGCCTTGCTCTGGAATTTCTGTCTCACCAGGATTCCCATGCCCTACTTTCTGTCCCACCCCTTGAAATCAGGCAGAGCAGGTATATTTCCTTATCCACAGGCCAACCAGCCCATTGGATGAGCAAGGTTCACCCCATCCCTGTTCTTTGGGTCACTGCCCTAGAACATGGTTCCTAGCCCCATAGTCTGTCAAAGGGCAGGCCCCAAATGAAACTCCCAGAGGGGCTTCACCAGTTCAGAGGAGAAAACACGGCCCTCATCTCCTCTGACCTGGACATCACACTCCTCCTCATTTGGCCAAGGAATCCTCTGGTTTCTGGGGCTGCCCCATCTCAGCACTTGTTCCCGCCATCATTCTCCACCCTAGTCCTCTCCTCTTCCTGGGACGCCTAGTCACGTGTCCTTACTGCAGCCACTCTCCATTGGAGCATGCTTGTCATTTTTTTTCCCATTGCCACCTCCTGGGTCCCGATTCTATCTCCTGCCTTCCCAGCCAAGTTGGCATCAGCCCACATTTCCAGGGAACCTTCTCATGTTACTAATAAGGATGGTCAGCAGGACAGTCACGAACAGGGACCTCCTGGGTCCCCTGGAGACTCCTACCAGCCTCGGATGGGCCTTGCAGCCTTGCTCTGCAGAATGATCCTTCCCCTGATTTACTGCAGTGGACACAGGGACACGGGTCAGGCATCTGGCCAAGCCCCTGCAGCCATGGGCCTTCTAGATTGTCATCTCTCATCCAGATCAGTCATCACAGCCGCCCAGCAGGTTCCTAGCCTCTGGCACTTCCCTGCTTCCATTTCCCCAGCTTCGGGGACCCAGGGCAGCTCTGGTGAACTCACTGCCATCAAAGGACACCTCAGAGCAGACCTGGACCCCTTGGCCACGTTCTGAAGCCTCCTTGGGTAGCTCCAGCCCCTTTACAATCCTTGTATCCCCTGCTTCCGTGCAACTTGCTGGCTTCTGCGTGGAGCGTTCCAGGTCTGAGTGTTGTTGACCACAAGAAGAGCCAGCTCATCGCCCGATGATAACTTGGATGATTTATCAGTGGCTCCTCCTGCAGTCTCCTCCTGTCCCGTCCCTGGGTTCATGCCAGGGGCTTGGTGGAGGCTCTCCCTCTGGGAGCGCCCAGGGCCGCCCTCAGACGGTGGGGGGCAGTGGGGGACCGCAGTCCAGCGGCCAGTACTGTTGCTCACTCTGAACCTCCCCTCCCTCACAGCTTGGGGAGGACTCTGACTACGATAAGCTGAGCGACATGGTGAAATACCTCGACCTGGAGCTCCACTTTGGCACCCAGAAAGCTGCCAGTGAGTGGCCCCAGGGGCCGAGGGGAGCCCTGACGTCGGGTTCTGCGGCAGCCCACCCACTGCCTTCTGTGGGGGTCCCAGGGTTGAGAGTCCACGAGATCTGAACAAACTGCCCTTTACTTCCTGGGCCCCTGAATTAGTTAACATCTCAGAGCCTCAGTTTCCCCACTTCAACACTGGAGATCATCATAACTGCCATGTATCGCATGCTTACCAAATGCCACACACCCTTGTTTCTACATTAATCCTGTGACAATCATGTAAGGTGGGGGCTGCGATCACCCCAACTTCCTGATGAGGCAGCACGTAGAGGCCAGGTAATTTGTTCAAAGTCAGAATCAGGTCGACAGATAGCCCATCCTCTCTCTCTCTCCCCTAGCCCCCCTCTGCGTGTCTCTCTGTCGTTGGGATGCTGTGTGTGTGGAGAGTGCTCTTCGGGTGGAAGAGACTGTTGTCCTTCCGGGCAGCATCTACAGTCACCAGGTGGCCGGTTCTCCTTGTGGGGCCGGCTCAGGCCCAAGGGCCAGGGGAGAGAGGACGGGGGAGGTACACACACACATCACACACACTAGGTGTGCAAGGCTGGACTCCAGAAGCCGTGAGTGAGGAGAGTGGACACCTGGAGCTGATTCAGTCAAGTCCATGGTCAGGGACCTCGGGACTGTGGGTGTGGCCACACCCCTCCTGGGCCCTCCCCCAGCAGCCTCAACTTAGCCTCCTGTCCCTAAACCATCAGTTTCCCTTCCAGAGCCGGTGCCGGGGCCTGAGCCCTTCAGGAAGAAGGAGGTGGTGGAGATCCTGTCCCACAAGAAGGCCTACAACACCTGTGAGGGGCTGCGGAGGCCCAGGGGTTGGGGGTGGGGGGTGCGCTGGACACGACCCCCTCGGGGCCGCAGAGCCTCGGATCCACCGCAGTGGATAATAGGGATCGGGCCGTGTGAGCCCCCAGCGCCTGCCGCCGGGCTCTGTGAACGCTCCCTCCCAGGTGCGGCTGCCAGCCGGTCCCGTCGGGCGCGAGTGCCGCCTTGGCTCCGCCCCCATCCTGTGATCTGCTCCCAGTTCTGGCCCTGCCTCCAGCCGCATCTTCTGCTCGCCCCTTTAAGACCCTCGCTAGTTCCCTGGCCCCAGCTCCACAGTTCAGTTCAGTTCAGTCGCTCAGTCGTGTCTGACTCTTCGCGACCCCACGGACTGCAGCACGCCAGGCCTCCCTGTCCATCACCAACACCCGGAGCTTGCTCAAACTCATGTCCATCGAGTCGGTGACGCCATCCAACCATCTCATCCTCTGTCGTCCCCTTCTCCTCCTGCATGCAGTCTTGCCCAGCATCAGGGTCTTTTTCCAATGAGTCAGTTTTTCCGCATCAGGTGGCCAAAGTATTGGAGTTTCAGCTTCAGCATCAGTCCTTCCAATGAATATTCAGGACTGATTTCCTTTAGGATGGACTGGTTGGATCTCCTTGCAGNCTGACCCCACGCCAGGCTGCCCTGGGGCAGGGTCTCCCGGCGGCATGGATGAATGCTGGCCGTGCATTTCTGGTAGATGCTGTCGGTTCCCGAATACAAGACCCGTCTGCGCAGCCTCCACTTCCAGGCCACCCTCCAGGAGAAGACGGAGGAGATCCGGGGCAGCCTGGAGTGCTTGCGCCAGGCCTCCCTAGAGCTCAAGAACAGCCGGAAGCTTGCCAAGATCCTGGAGGTCAGGGCCACCCCCTCTCAGATCAGTCTGCCTGCTCCTCTGCCCCTGGGGCTTCCAGCCTGGAGGCCCATCCCCGGAGGGGCCAGGCAGTGAGGGAGGACCTGCCCTCTGGTTCTCTCCCCAGTTTGTGTTGGCCATGGGCAACTATCTCAACGATGGACAGCCTCAAACCAACAAGACCACGGGCTTCAAGATCAACTTCCTGACGGAGGTGAGGGGGCCGGTCAGGCAGTCGTCCATCTGTCTGCTCCGCCACCAAGGCTCCCCGGCAGGAAGAGCTGGCTGCCTGAAGCCAGCATGTAACAGAAGCACAGGCTGGGGCTTGAACGCTTGGGGAGGCGAGGTGGCTTCTCCAGGCCTCGGAGAGACGGAGCGGTGGGGGAGGAGAGGGCAGGTGAGAAGGCTCCAGGAGGAAGGGGAGAGTCCCACCTGGTGGACTCTGTGCCCTTGACACCAGAACCACCGTCAGGGCAGTCCTACCCCAGAAAGATCTAGAACCAGAGAAAGGACAACTCAAATATCCAGCCTTCCCCCTGTGTGTTTGGGGCTTTCCACTGCAACACCTTTGGTTGCTTTTTAAAAGAGGAAGGACAACTCTGTTTATAGATATGAATGGTTTAGGGCGTCTGAGGCTCAGCTGGGCCACAGATGGTTCCAGAAAACCACAAAAGGGAAATACCTTGAGTGATGCTCCCCACTTTTGCTGGGGTTAGAAAATCTTGGGCTCCATCTACTGACAAGAACAAACTCACAAGGACCAAAAAGAACCTAGGTGTCTCCCCTAGCTGGGGATGGGAAGGACTGGTTCCTGGCGGGGGGGTCCTCAAATATCTGGGCCAGGGGCCAGGCTCGTGACATCCCAGCAGATAAGAGCTTCAGAGTAAGGACTACTAGCCATCGGTTTATAAGCTTTGGAGTTGACGAGTGTCGGGGGTGGGCAACTGATGCCACAGGCTGGGGAAGCAGGGCTGAGCCCCTGTGATCAGGAGTCAGATGGGGTCCTGGAGGAGGACGTGTGTTGGGGTCACTTGCAGCTGAATTCCACAAAGACGGTGGACGGGAAGTCCACCTTCCTGCATATCCTTGCCAAATCGCTGAGCCAGCACTTCCCTGAACTCCTGGGCTTTGCTCAGGACCTGCCCACCGTGCCCCTGGCTGCCAAAGGTAAGCTGGGTGGGCAGGTGGGGAGGCAGAGCCCCCACTGTCCTGGGCTGGCCTCATGGGCAGCCCCCATAGGCCCTATCCCCTTGCCTACAGTGAACCAACGAGCCCTGACCAGCGACTTGGCTGACCTCCACGGCACCATCAGTGAGATCCAGGCCGCGTGCCAGAGCATGTCCCCCTCCAGCGAGGACAAGTTTGCTGTGGTCATGGCGGTATCCTGTCCCAGGGCCACCGTGCACTCAGGGGCGGGGTGGGGGTCAGGGAGAGCTGGCCATCGCTCCAGCGACTGCTGCAGACCCCTGTGTCCTGGCGGAGAATCTGGGCAGAGGCTGCCGTTGTTGCCGGGCTTCTAGAGGAGTCCATCTTAGGTCATCTAGAATCTAAGCGCTTATGCCGAGGCTGTGTGTAACTGAGAAGGAGCTCTTCTGATTGGCCTAAAGCCACTCCCTTGCCCTGTTTTTTTTTTGGGGGGGGGGCAGCAGAACCCAGACTGAGGTCACAAGATTCAAGGAGAGGTTTGTCATGCCTGACTAGCCAAAGGCAGTCCGGAGAGGAAATGTAGTAACAAATGCTATAGATTTTTTTAATAAAAATGACAGAGAGGGAGAACAGCGTAGAGAGTGATAAGGAGCCCGTCTCCGTGGGTGGTCAGGTAAGAGAGGGTGGTAGCCTCTGGGCAGAGCCAGGAGAGCAGAGAGAGCTGCCCAACAGAGGGAAGCAAGTGAGTGAGTGGCCTGAGGCTGGGCTGGGTGTGGCGGGTGTCAGGACAAGCCAGGAGCCTGTGACGGGGGCATGGTGCCCAGGAGAGCAAAGGGCCCCGGGGCAGTAAGGCCGCTGGCTGGGTCACTGCTGGAGTACCTGCCCCTGGGGCCTGGAGCGGTTTCCTTAATAGAGGCCGTCAGTCTTTTCTGGAGACGGCCCAGCCATTGCTGCGGGCGCTGGACGGGCTGCAGCGAGACGCCATGGAGGAGCTGGGCAAGGCGCTGGCCTTCTTTGGGGAAGATTCCAAAGCCACCACCTCCGAGGCTTTCTTCGGCATCTTCGCGGAGTTCATGAGCAAGTTCGAGGTGAGCCCCGGTGGGAGGCCCTGGGAGAGGGCAGGGCCCGAGGTCAGAGGAGGGGGCTCCTGTGTGAAGCCAGAGGAGGGAAAGGGCCCCTGGTGAAGGACACGCCCCCAGCTGGGCGGGGCCATAGGGGTCCGCCCGGGCCGTGGGCGGGGGGCGCGGGGCCGCCGACCGAGCGCCTCCCCACGTGCTCCTCTGTCCCCAGCGAGCGCTCGGCGACCTGCAGGCAGCCGAGGGCCCGCGCAGCTCGGGGATGGTTTCGCCCCTGGCCTGGTGACGGCGGCGGCCCGTGCACGGAGACGGACGCCCGAGGCGGCGCCCGAGAGGGTCGCGCGGACGCCGCCCCGCGTGGCCCCGAGCGGCCCGGGTGCGGAGTGGCGCCCAGCCACCCGCGCGTCTCCAGCTACCTCAGCCGTCCAGCTCCAGCCGCCCGCGAAGGTGCGGGGACCCCTTCTCAGGGCCGAGCCGGGGCGCCAAGAGTTGAGGGCGCGGGGCCGGAGCCTGCGCGCCGATTCCCGGGTACGGGTGGATCACCCGCCGACTTCCCGCGCTTCCTTGTTCACCTCCTCCCGCCCCGCCCGTCCCCGCCCCGCTCTCGACCCTCTGGACATCAGGGTCCGGGGGAGGTGGGGACACCGAGAGCGGTGTCCGCGCACTAGGACAGCCTCTTGGCCTGACCGTGCCCGGCCCCAAGCAAGGACGTCTGAACCTTTCCTGAGCCTGCTCCGAGCGCGCCCAGGAGGCTTTCTCACGGAGCACAGAGCCCGCAGACCTCGGACTTTGGAGGAGGAAGGAGGCAGACGACCTGGAACAAGCCACACCTGGGGCTGCTTGAAGAAGGCTGGAAGGGGAGCCCCAAGTGCAGGGACCTGATGTCGGGGGGGGGGGGGGGGGGAGTGCGCACCTACGCTCCGCCTCGAAAGCCGGAGGAAGTTTGAGTCCAGTGCAGCCCAGAATCAAGGCAGGCAGGCTGGAGGGCAGCTGCGCAGAGATACAGGAAAGGATTCAGAAGGTCCTTTATGGCAGGTTGCAGGATTGAGGTTTTAGCCCACCGAGAAACTAAAATCCAATTTAGAAGTGGGGAGTCTGGAAGCGGGAGGGGGTCGTCAAGTAAGGGCTGAGAGAACAGGGAGGTGTTTAGGTGATGGATAAACAGGACTTGGTGGCTGGTTGCCAGGCTCCTCTCCTGGGTGAGTGGTGGTGATGTTCCCTAGAATAGGCCGCATTCAGGCAGTAACCCCATCTGGGACAGATTTGGGGGCCCCAGAGTCTGTTTTACATGTGTATCTCGGGATGCAGGGATGCTGGGAGCAGGGCGGGAGCTCGGGGCATCCTTTTCCTTTCTTTGTTCCATCCTTTACATTCTCCAGTTGACAAAGCCTGGGTCTGGCAGCTTCCAGCTACCTCTTGCCCTGACTTTCTTCCAGAGAAGCCTGGAATGGGCTTTAGAGCCCATCCTTTGGGCTGTTCCTTCTCCCACGGTGACTGAGTAACTGGTGTTGCCCCTGGACAGTGTTGGGGACCCATTCAGTTCTTCCCAGTCTCCCACCAGCCCCTCTTTGAGACCATGTATGTTCTTTCTTTGTTTCCCACTCACAGCCACCATATAGAAATATCTAAACCGAACTCTGTGATTCAGGTGGGGGATATGCACCCAGATGTGGCTCGTGGAGGGCATTTCTCCCCAGCAGCTCAAGCTGGATAGGTTTCGTAAGTTCCCAAAGCCTTCGTCTATGGGGAACGTGTTGGAAGGTGCATTAAAATCCCTGTGTGAGGTCTGTAGAGACTAGAGACTGCACCGGCTATGAACAAGCATGACCCTCAAGCCCCTGTATGGCATTTTTCCTGCAAACTAGAAACCTCTCCAGGTATATCCAGCCCCATGCTAGGGGACCCAGGTTGACAAGCCAATCGCTAGCTGGGTTTTCTCCCCATAATGCTTTGTGTGGGCATGATCAGTTGTGTCCGACTCTTTGCCCATGGACTGTAACCTGCTAGGCTCCTCTGTCCATGGGATTCTCCAGGAAAAAATACTGGAGTGGGTTGTCATTCCCTTCTCCAGGGGATCTTCCCGACCCAGGGATCGAACCTAGGTCTCCTGCGTTGCAGGCGGACTCTTTACTCTCTGAGCCCCCAGGGAAGCCTATAATGCCTTGTAACTGATACCTATTTCCCACACAATGCTGTGTAACAAACTGTCCCAAAACTCAGTGACTTAAAACAGCGGCCACTACCACTCTTGGGTCCATGGGTCACCTGGGCAGTTCTAATCTGAGCTGGGCTCAGTGGACTCACTCATGTGTCTGCGGTCCTCTGTGGGTCAGTGGTCAGCTTTGATAGTCACGCAGGGCTCTTTCCACGTCCAGGGCCTTGGCTGGGACCATGGAGATAGGTTCGTGTGGTCCCTTATCCTCCAGCCAAAAAGCCATGACAGTTTACATGGTAAAGGCAAGGGGAACAAGCAAAGGCAGAGAAAAGCCCTGGAAGCCTAAGCTCAGAACTGTCACCCCATCCCTTCTGCCACATCCTATTGTCAAAGCAAGTGACAAGCCCAGCCCAGATTCCAGGGGAGGGGAAATAGACTCCCTTCTTAACAAAAGGGGATGGGTGGGTAAAATTTGCTCAGTCGTGTCCGACTCTTTGCGACCCCATGGACTATATAATCCATGGAATTCTCCAGGCCAGATTACTGGAGTGGGTAGCCTTTCCCTTCTCCAGGGGATCTCCCCAAGTCAGGGATGGAACCCAGGTCTACTGCACTGCAGGCGGATTCTTTACCAGCTGAGCCACAAGGGAAGCCCCTCTTGATGAGAAATGCTGCCAAACCGCAAGGCAGAGGGTGTGGGCTCAGGGTCAGGTACAGTCAGAGCCATTGTCGCCATCCGTCTGCCGTTTGCATCCACGGCCAGGCATCCTGGGGAACCTCCCAGCCTCCTTGCAATCCTCAGAGGCCCCTGTCCTCCCTGGACCCAGCAGAGCTCTGCTCACCCTCCTCATGTGTCCTCCAAGCGCCATGCGTTTCCTTCTGTCTCACCTAGTCACCCTTGAGTCACCTGACCCCTCTCAAGATGCTCTCCGTCTGGGGGCAACAGCGATCTATGCCTGCCTAGCAGCCAGTGTCCCTTCTGCTGGGGAAAACTCCCTATTTCTCCTTTGGGAAATTATCCCTCCTCTGCCCCCAGGCCTTGGAATGTTGCTGAGTGGATAAGACTGGTTCTTGGGACTCCGGCCAGGCGGCTCAGAGTCAATTCAAGACTCAAGTTAGAAGTGTTTGGGAAGGAGGCCCCTTTCTTCTGGATGAATCATTGGGTGTATAGAGGGTGGGATCCTGGAAGGAGCTGCCAGGACGACCACATGAAAGGCACCCACCTGGGTGTAAACCAATACCGAAGAAAAGGAGAGAAGACCAGTCCGGCCATCTCCTTGCCCCTGAATCCAACTGTGCCTGAAGCAGACACCCTGACTTTCCACTTTCCAAGCTGACAAATTGCCCCCCTCCCACCGTTTGTAAATTTTTTTAAATTTCTTTTAGTTTTTTGGCTTAGGCTGGTTTGAATGGGTTCCTGTCACTTGCAACACCAAGAGGGTGAACCAATCAACAGATGGTTACGGATGTTCAGTGTTTTCACCTTCTCTTCGTTCACAAATGCATTCGCCAATACAGTCTGACTGCCTCCCACATGCCAGACACAATGCTGCATGCAGATGTCGGCCTCTCTGAGTTTGGTTTCCCAGGGTCATATTTCACGGTGATTCTTCACCTGAGTCAGCACGAAGCCCTATATGTGAGCCAATTTGTGTGCCATACCCCACTCCCTGCCCCCGTTCCTCACCAGATGACGAGGTGTGACAAGCAGGAATGGATTTCCCTTTCAATAATACTACAAAATAGTGTGGCCCAATCACACACCACCTTCTCTAATAACATCTGTTAATGTTTACTAGGTAGTGAGCTTCATGTTTCTACATATATCACTTTACGTTCACAGTGACCCTCTGAGGTGGGTTTTGTTATCTTCTTTTTACAAATAAAACATCTGAAATTCAGGAAGGTTATGTGACTTGCTGGATGGAAAGTCAAGTCTGTCTAAATCCCAAGCCCATCCTCTGAGTGGAAATAACTTCTTTGTTGTGCTTAATGTGATTTTTCAAAACGTCTATGAGTGTTCCAAGGGCCACTGATGCTGGTAACTTCAACAGAAAGACAGCCCTACCTCTTTTCCCAGCCCATTCTGTTCCTCTCTGCTCAGGCTGCCACAGTGAAATACCATAGGCTGAGTGGCTTGAATGAATGCATGCGGGCATGCTCAGTTCTGTCCAACTCTTTCCTATCCCATGGACTGTAGCCTCCAGGCTCCTCCATCCATGGGGTTCTCCAGGCAAGAATACTGAAGTGGCTTGTCATTTCCTTCTCCAGGGGACCTTCCTGACCCAGGGATTGAATCCGTGTCTCCTGTGTCACCTGCAGACATTTTTTCCCTCCCAGCCCTGGAGGCTGGAAGTCCAAGATCAACGTCTCAGCAGGTTGGGTTTCTCCCGAGCCTGCTCTCCTTGGCTTGTAGGTAGCGGCTTCTCAGTGTCCTCACGTGGCCTTTGCTCTGTGCATTGCCGGTGTCTCCTCTTATAGTGACACCAGTCCCACTGGATCAGAGTTCCATCCTTATGACTCCTTTAACCTTAAATATTGCATTGGCCAAAAAGTTTGTATGGATTTTTCTGTACACTATTATGGAAAAACACCAACAAACTTATTGGCCAACCCAATACCTCCTTAAAGAACTTATGTCCAAATGCAGTCACCTTCTGAGGTGTTGGGGGCTAGGACTTCCACATAGGCACTTGGGGAGCGAGACACAGCTCAGCCCATGTCACCGCCTTATCAGGTGCCACGGATCTAACAGTGCTGGTTCCAAGGAAGCCACGGAGATCCGAGTTCAGCGGATGCTCCAGAGAGAAAGGGTTCGGGCGAGCAGGTTTTCTCCCCTCCTCCCCCATCTGCACACCTCTGTGTCCCTGCCCTCACCTTCATCCCATACCGTCCAGGCCTTGCTCTCAATGCCAATCAGTCACTAATTCTTTGTGCCATATCCCCGCCTCCCCAAGCTCCCAGGGGTTCCAATGCACCTGAGACCACAAAGCATTTTCCACTGGCTCTCTCCCCCTCACCAATAAACACCCCTCTACCCGCAGCCCTCAAAGAAGAGTCTAGAGCCCAGTGGCTCGGGTCCCCTCACTCCCTCCTTTAGACCAAATCTTGCAGAACTGTTGAAGCATCTT